AGAAGAAAAATGCTAGAGCGGGACCAAAAACACATTGCCGAGGATGACGAAATTCAACTTAAATTAAGGGCCGAAGAGAAGGAGAAACTCTTAATGGTAGACAAATTATATAAAGAGGCAAGTGAAAGATTAAGGAAGGGTGCAGAAAATAAAAAAATGACTGAAATATGTATGGCTCAACTAATGTTTGAAGGAGTGAACCAAGCCAAAACAGAAGCGGGGAAGGTTACTTCCAAGATTAGTAGATTTAGAAAAATTAATGGCGAAAATTATAATTTTATAATTATAGATCAGCTGCAGCCCACCAAAAAAAAGAAAACCCATTAAATGACTAATGCCAGTGCCTAAAGCAATTTTTTATATAAATGTTATTCTATTTATGATATGTTATAATTTATTACAGTATTTAATTTTTTGTTGTTTTTTATGTATTTTATAACAGTTATGGTTACTTGTTACTTTTAATTCAATAAAAATTTATAATTTCAAGTTATCTCTATGTATTTTAAATTCAAATTTAGATCTTTTATCCCAAAAAAAATGTATACCTCCATTTTATAGTTAATTCGGTAATTAATTTGGTATATATTTGGTCGTTTATTTTTTATTATTAGTCTCTTAAGTCACTATTTCTCGCAACATGGACTGCTGGGAGTCCTGATATTCCCTAAAAAGCTTAAATATTGTACATCTATGTATGTAGCTAGTAGTTACTAACTAAGTGATCGTTCTTGTCAAAAAAGTGTCAAACAATTATTATAATATATATATTAGGGTGTCCCTTATTTTTTATTTTTTTACGCATACCCTCTAATTATATTTATTACGTATTTATATACTCCCAGTAAAAATTTCAGCTCATTCTATAAACGGGAACCCGTGCCGACTTGCATCTAAACCCTCCGTTAGACAACGTTAGGAGCGCGCGGTATTTTGTAACACGAAACACTTTAAAAAGAAAATATACTTCATGACTGTAATTTTCTAATGATTTTATTAAATATGATTACTAATTAATATTATTGCTTTTGTTTCTATCATTTGTTTCACTAATTTAGTTGATTTTATCCCTTAAATATATTAATATACTAATTAGTATTGCTAAAATATACTGTTATATGAAATTTCAGCTTTTTATAAGCATTTCTTTTCTTGATGTCCTCCCAAAAATATTTCAGACAGTTTTCGGTAGTCATCTCTCACAATAGACTCTTTTAGTTATTTAGAGTAAATCCCATTAAGTTTATCAATTTCAGAGTTTACGGCATATTCACTAGACCCTTCCGGGTAACTAGCCACTCCCTGTGAAAATATACATTTTTATCAAAGTATACACATAAATAAAACTATATTTTAACATTTGTCAATAATTTATAATATAAGGGTCACATAATAACAAACACAAAATGACTTACGATCGAAGACCTCGCGGCCAACCGTGTTACAAAATAAGCGCGCCTAACGTTGGCTCACGGAGGGTTCAGATGCAAGTCGGCACGGGTTCCCGTTTATAGAATGAGCTAAAATTTTTACTGGGAGTATATAAACACGTAATAAATATAATTAGAGGGTATGCGTAAAAAAATAAAAAATAAGGGACACCCTAATATATATATTATATATGTATAGGTATGTGTCTCAGTATCATGGAATCATATGGAAAACTTTTTTATTATTAATTTTAGGAAAAAAAGTTTTATAAAAAGTTCTGCATGGTGTAGAACTTAAAATGCAACCCACAAATATTATTTTTTTTTAGTCGTATACGGGGTATGTCAAAAAATATGAATTTGGCTCAAGAGTAAAGTACCTTTATATTTGACAATATCAAAAATTGTTATAAAGAAAAGATAATCAGAACTAAAAACTACGTTCAAATATGCAATTTTATCCATTTACGTTAAAAAATTAGGTTTTGTTAATTTTTACTAATCATTCTATTTTAAATGAACATTTATCTGTTATGATTACAAAAAACATGAAAACCTTTTCTTTTCTAAATGTTTTCTATAAATTTTGCAATTTTAACACGTCTCATGACCAATATTCATTTAAGACGAACGTGTGGTGTGGCATTTATAATAAGAAATTAATAGGACCTTTTTTTTCGCCAAGCTATGAATGCCGAACGTTATTTACAGTTTTTACAAACTCATATCAATGACTTTATAGACGAACTACCCTTGCAAGAACGTCAATGTATTTGGTTTCAACAAGACGGTGCCCCATGCCATTGAATGTTAGGAAATATCTTGAACAAATGTTCCATGGAAAAGTTATGCACAGATATTCTAATACTTTTTGGCCTAAAGTCGCATCAGCGAAGCCCCTTTTCTTTCGTTCCCAAGATCTAACCAATAAATCTATCTTACCAAACATGCTTTTACACGACATACCTACTTATAATAGTGAAAAAATATAAATGCGCGGTGGGAGAATATTGAAAAGCATATAGATTTGAAAAAAGGTTTTTGTTTTGTAACTTGAGTAATTTAATTTTTTACAAAAATAATGTTCTTTGGCTTTTTGCTTTACTGAAGTTCTCTAATATGGATTTATAATTAATTTTTGCAGCTAAATCTGCTTCGATTGAAAGTATTGCTAAACCAGACAGTCGCGACAATATGAAGCAGGACCGACTAGTCGGTCCTGCTTCATATTGTTTCTTAAGTAGTTTTTAATAATTTTTAACTTAGAAAAACTTCTTTCTGCGGAAGCTGTACTTACAGGCATAGTGAACATAATTCTAATAGCAATGTAAACATTAGGATATAATCAGTGGCGTAGGCTACGCCGCGTAGCTAGCCTCGAGGGGGCCCCGTATCAAAAATCTGGTAGGGGCCCTTATACGGGAAAATCTGCTGACAAAAAAATGTCTGGGTGTCACGCCCAAAATCTATTTTGGGCAAACAAAAAAAACTTTTTAGATTATAATTTTTTTGCATTTACCAATTTTTTATAATTTAATAAATAATATACATATGTATACATTAGGGTGTCCCAAAAAAAAGAATATTTTTTTTCTTCTCGTCTCTTGTGAAAATATGTTGGTTTGTCATGTTTTAAGAGCCCTGTCAAAAGATCAGCACCATTAAAAAAATTTTAGGGGTCGCTCAAGATTTTTAAAAATTACCAAAATCGTCAAAAATTGGATTTTTTTTATTTTAATTTTTTTTCTCGTTCCGATATTATTTTTTAATTTAAAAATAATAATGATTCTGAAAATTTCAAATCGATATTTTAATTTCTAAAGGTCGCTCAAGATTTTTTTAACTTTCAAAGTAGAGTATTTTGAATGTTTTCGAGCGACCTCTGAATATAAATATCAACGAACTTTTAGCGACCTTTAGAAATCAAAATATTGATTTGAAATTTACAGAATTTTTATTATTTTCAACCTAAAAAATAATATCGAGACGAGAAAAAGAATTAAAATAAAACAAAAATTCAATTTTTGACGATTTTGAAAATTTTTAAAAATCTTGAGCGACCCCTACAAAATTTGTAATCGAGCTGATATTTTGAAAGGGCTCTTACAGCATGATAAACTAACATATTTTTACAAGAGACAAGAAAAAAAATATATTCTTTTTTTTTGGGACACCCTAGTATACATAGCTTTTTAGGTACAGGCAAATTTTAAAATTTGGTCTGGTTTTAGACATTTACCGGTCTTCAACATATTTTAAAAGGTTTCCATTTTAAAATAAAGGCAAGTCATTTGAAATAATTGTAAAGCTAATAATTATTTCTAATTTGCTATTAATATAACCTATGATAATACGCTGTGGCTCCCATCCCGAGGCGGGACTTAAGTTCAGTCCCGAGTGACGTCATAATTTTAAGATTTGTTATGTTACGATAAAACTAAAACAAACCAACCAACCCAACACTTTTTAACAAAGAAAAAACAAATTTATAAAATAAAAAACGTTCGAAAACTTCTGTAGTATCGAACCCGGTACCTCTCGCATGCCAAGCGACCGCCCTACCATCTTAGCCATCCAGCTTAACATTAATTTTATACCGCTCGGGGAATAAAAACGGATTTACAGTGTGTGACGTCAGTCGCTTCGGGAAGGGAGCAACTTCCATGATAATAACACGCAAAGCAGACTCAGTATGCACAGAACAATATGCGCAGACTGCGCCGCAGACAACGAATAGCGGAAAGGTGCGGGCAGAAACCATTAGTATAAGTTCACGGCCTCGTTGGAACAGAAGGGGATTCGGGAAAACTTTAATTTAATAAATCGAAGTATAAACAATTAAATAATATTATTATTTATTTAATTGCAAGCCTCAATTTTTAACATGTGGGTAATATGTTTTTTCTAACGCCTGTCGAAGCCAATCGGGGCCCCCCTGGCCGGGGGCCCCGTATCATTGATACGGCTGATACCGCGGTAGCTACGCCCCTGGATATAATATATCCTAATGTATATATAATGTATATATCCGATATGTCTTTTATTTGTAATCATGTATTGAATCATTTGATTGGCGTCTCCAATGGAGTTTGGTAGATTAGGCACTAAAAGTTGTAGTTCTTCGTTCTTCGAATGTTATAAGCTTTATAAAGCTTATAACATTATATGTCTTTGCTTTCTCCATCTTGAAGTACTAGACCTAAATCATTACAGTGCTTTAAAAGCTCGTTATTTGGCAAAGATTTTAAATTATTTATGTCGTACAAGAATCCAAAATTGTTGTAATATTTAGTGAGTGCAGTAAATCTTGTGTTAATGTCCTGTATCACGGCGTCAACCATTGTAATAAAAAAATCAATCAATCATAATTAAACATTTTCTTTTTCTTGCGAATCCTTTTCTCTTTAAAAGTCATTGGAATCTCACAACTGCTCTGTTCTATGAATTTGTAGGCTTTTGCAGTACATTCATTAAAGCCTGTTTCCCGAAATTTGTGGATCCAGTCACAAAAATTGCGCAAATTGTCAATGGCAACTTCTAAATTTATATCGACTTTTTGCCAGATCTTACTTATGTTATTGACTCGGTTTAATGTTTCGTACCACACGTGTATCGAGATAATAAATTCCAGAGTTAGCATTTCAGTTACAATTGCTTGGCAATCGCAAAGAGTGTCTACATCTTCAGATTGATTTTCCAGATTATTTATACAATCGATAATATCATCAAACTGAAATAATATAGCTTTCACTGAAGCAATTCGGCTTTCCCATCTTGTATCAGACAACGATTTTAAGGTTATTTTCAATTTATCCTTTACTAATTCCCATCTCTTGCTGGATTTGGAAAAAAGAACATTTATTTTTTGGATGAAACCAAAGAACACTTTTTCGATGGATGATGTGTTGGCTGCATCTACTAAAATGAGATTCCAACTGTGGCAACCACAAGGAGTGAAGAATGCTTGTGGATTGATAGTTAATATTCTTGATTTTACTCCTTTTTTAATGCCGACCATATTGGCGCCATTATCGTAGCCTTGGCCTCTACAATTTTGAATATTTAATTGATGTTTTTCAAGTTCATTGAGTATGATATTTGTTAAAAACTTTCCTGTTGTTTCTGATACTGCTAAAAAACCAAGAAAATGTTCTTCTAAATTACCGGTGGACGTATTCACGTATCTTAATATAACAAACATTTGTTTGACTCGACTAATGTCTCTTATGCAATCCAGCATTATAGCATAGTACTTAGCTTGTTTAATATTTCCAGTAATAATAGCTTGTGACATAAATGAAATAAGCTCATTTTGTATCTGCGGGCTTAAATAGTGAATATTTAGCTGTTTTTAATTGATACGACTCAAGTGCTTATGGAGTGTCAAATCATATTTAGCTAATAATTTGAATAGATCAATAAAATTGCCGCTATTTCCAACGTAATTTGGATCAAGGGATTCTGTATGGCCTCGAAAAGCCAAGTTATGGGAAGCTAAGTAATTAATTATATCAACCAATCTTTCGAAAAAATTATACCAATGTTTCTGACTTTCTTGAATCAATCTCTCATTTTCTTTATCAATAGTCTTTCCATGCTTAATACCTTTTTCAAATGATAGCCATTGAACCATGCTTTTTCTATGTTCCTTCTGATTTTCGTGGCGTTCAAGAATAGTATTTAGGTGTTTCCAATCATTACAGTCTAGAATCAGCTGTGTTTGCAAGCCAGAGAAAAGTTTGCAACTGAAACAATATACTTTGTCTTGTGAAGTTGAATATACTAACCACCTACGATGCTGACTTTCTCCATTGCTCAATTTTCTCGTATAATAAAAATTCGAAAAGTGTCTTCCATTTTCATTTTGTGGATAATATTTATTGCTAAGATCTAAATTTTGTTGGGGACCACATTGGACTAAATCATGACGGTATTCATCGTTTATCGGAAAGCTCCAGTTTCCTGGATCATTTGTTTAAAATTTACAAATTTCTAATTCTTTATTGTCCTGAAAATTTACTGTAGACGTGCCATCACCAAGATCAAGGGAAGTTCCAACTCCAACACAGAGCCCAATGTCACTTATAGTTTTGTTGGATTCACTCTGCATGACTTCTTCTGATTCTGACCTCGTTTTGTCATCATTCTTTTGAAAATCATTTTTTTCCGATTCTGCACTGTCAAAGGTCAAAATATATATATATATATATATATATATATATATACGCGTAAAAGTACCAAGTGACACCAAAAACTACATTGACGTTCCCGCACCCAATATTTTTGGCGCTTAATGTGAATTAATGGCACCTTATATATTTTTTAAGTATATATGCGTTCTGACACTATACAGATATATAATACCTTTGTTTGAAAGTTAGTGTTTTACTAAAATATTGCTCGCTTTAGGATTTCTAAATTAGGAAGTCCTTTGTCGAAATAATAAGTCAGATGTTTCGAATAAAATATTTATTGTCATCACATTTATTTTACTTTTCGTTTTAAATATTCTAAATTAAAAACTAACCTTGGAGAATACACAAACAGTCGTAACAATAATTTAAATAGAACTTTGCAATAAATTTCGTTTTAGCAAAAATTTACAAGAAACGATCCGTTCGCTAACACTTCCAAAAACTTTCTGCCTGTTTTTTGCTTCCCTTTATTAATTAATTAATTATTATTAATTAATAGAGTATTCGTGTACCTGGACCATCGTTTCTTGAATCATCTGGACGCCAGATTTTTAGGTAAAGTTCGAAAAACCTGTAATTCCTTTACCTAAGTGTCCCTTTTTACCACTTTTGCAAAACTTTTTGCCTTTAACACGATAATTTAGAAATTTCAAATTTATTCTAAAATAAATTTGTAAAATATATAAAACTACGTTACTTTTCTTGAAAATAAATTTGTAAACCGTGTCAGTACGGAACAATTACAATATTTACATAAAGTTCGTTTTTGGGTGTACAAAACAAAAAATCCATTTTTACAAATTTCATGTGATTGCTGTTTTTTCACGAATATAAATTGTGACAATACCGAGTTTTTTAAATTTAATTTACATTATTATACAGGGCCTGCATATTGATACATGTGATCTTATTCAAGGGGTAAAGTAAATTTTTTTTATTAAAGTAGAAAAAAAAACAATATTGTGATTATAAATTAAAATAAATTTGGTATTGCAATAACAATTTTGTTTGCCCTTTATTATAAAAAATTATCATTCTCTTGCCCGTTCAATTATCATTTACTCTTAATTTTACTAATATGTCTTTATAAAATTATCAATTTTACCCATTTTTGGGTGCAACCGTTCTGGCAAACCAGCTATGAAATGACATAAAAATATAATCATCAATTAATTTCTGAAATTAAAGTAAAGCAAATTTTGCGACAGATTAGAAGAGATAACAGTGGCGTAGCGACAGTACCGCGAACGCCCGCCACCGCGGGGGGGCCTAGCCTTGTGGGGGCCCGTCCTATACTTGCCCCAAAACATTAAAAAACTTATTTCCATTGTATTATCTGCAAAACAAAAAACTTGACGCGACGCTTAAAAATTATGGAAACATTCTAAGATTGCTTAGATTGCTAGTTATCTTTGTATGTTATAAAATTATATTATTTTTCTATTATTTTAGTAGTAACAAAATTTAAATTATTTTCTCAAGATTACAGATTTTGAAAATAGACTTAAAAAATGATACCCGTGTCTCGGCGTGTTTTCAGATCACGGCTTCAATAGAAAAATTTTATTTAATGAATAAATTTTATTTAAAAAAAATCAAAAATTATTTTTTTTATTTTTATTTAAAGAATTTTTATTTAAAAAATTTTTTAAGTATAATTTTTCTATTATTTAAAACATTCAATATTTGAAAAAATTATTTATAACAAAATAGAAAATTAAATATATGTATATATACATATATGTAAAAATAATAAGAATGGCTGAATAAAAAATTTTAATGACGTGATTTCGTAAAACGATAAGTCACGCACATGTTTTTTTAACCTATATTTTAAAATCTCTTAAATTTTAAATTCTTTCGCATTTTGTAAAAAAGTTGTTATTGTTATTTTTCGTTTACAAATATTTTTTTTAATAAATAATAATAATAAATTAAAATAATAATTTTTATTTTCAATATAAAAATATGTGAAATCCTTAACGTAACCTTAAATAACTTTTAAACCAGTGAATTTATCAGAAAAATCAAAAGAGTGCTTTTTTGTAAAGCGTTTAATTTCTTATAAAAATATGTCTTTTATTGCTGTATATTAACTTGATCGGGAGAAAAAAAAATATATAAAACGTGCCGAAACCCCCTGTAATTTAAATGGAAAATGTATCGTCTTTGTGGCAAGGTTTAATATGAATATTAAGGGCTTATATGAGTCTGATAATTTTGTTAGGTCATAAACTAAAAATAAAATAAGTTGGTAAATAACGGACACCCTAATGTACAAGTATATTTCTTTACACAATTCTTAATTTTACACATTTCTAGCAAACCAGCGATTAAATTACGTAAAAATAAAACCATATAATCAATTCCTGAAATTAAAGCAAATTTGGCAGATTACAACAGAAAATAAAGATTTTTAAAAACCTGTTGCCTCAACAACAAATGTCAAAAAATACTTTATTATTTTCCCGGCAATATTGATAGATTATTCCTAATTTAATAATGTTTTGATTGGCTAAAACATAAATCCATGACTAAAATTCAAAGATTTTATTGGTTTTTAGAAAATGATAAAAAATAATCACACAAATATAATAGGTATAGTCGTCTCGACTAATGTTTTACATTGCGTCGTTAATTTGTAAAGCAAGCCAGAAAGACAGACATACATACAATTTGCTGGTTTCTTTTTATACAGTGGTGGAAAAAAGTATGGAATATTTTTGTACTTTGTATTATTTTAAATTAACGTTGTCCATAATCTGTTTAAAATCTGAGCAAGTTAATTTAGCGTAGAAATAGTCAATTAACCAATATTTCCTTTATATACAACGGCTTATTTCGATATTTTGTAAAAAAATGCAATGTGTTCTGGAAAAAAGTATGGAATATTTTATTCATATTGATCAAAAATTGACAAAAAATCAAATAATTCAATATTTTGTGGCGTAACCTTTCGCATCTATATCCGCTTGACATCTTCTAGGCATAGAATCCACCAGTTTCTGCAATGTGTCCAAAGGAATTTGTTGCCACTCTTCCTTTATGGTTTGGAGAAGTTCGTTTTTGTTTGCAATGTTTTTTGTTCGAATTCGACGGTCTAATATTTCCCAAAGGTGCTCAATCGGATTGAGATCGGGGGACTGAGAGGGCCATTCAAGTACAGTTACGTCTTTTACCAAAAACCACTCTTTAACAATTTTCGAGGTGTGCTTGGGATCGTTGTCTTGTTGAAATATCCAAGAAAGTGGCATCTCTTTCTCGGCAAATGGTAACATGGTATTCTCTAAGATGTCCCTGTATTGGAAACGATCCATTATACCCTCTACTTGAATCAATGGTCCAGCCATGGATCCAGAAAAGCATCCCCAAACCATAATGCTTCCTCCATCATGTTTAATAGTGGGAATTTGGTATTTAAAATTGTATCTCTGTCCTACTGGCCGTCTCACAAACGTTCTACCATCAGAACCAAATAAATTAAATTTACTCTCATCGCTCCAAAGTACAGAGTTCCATTTTGCCTGAGTCCAGTTCAAGTGGGATTTGGCAAATGCCAGACGGGCAGCTCTGTGTTTCTTCGAAAGCAGTGGTTTTTTAACGGCAACTCGACCATGTAGTCCCGCATCAATTAGGCGATTTCTCACAGTTCTGCTCGTCACATCAAGATTAAATTGTGTGGATATTTCTTCAGTAATTTGTCTTGATGTCTTCCGAGGATCTTTAAGAGAGAGTCTTTTTATTGTTTGGTCTATCATGACAGTAGTTTTTCTGGGACGTCCTGACTTGCGTCGAGTCTCAACACCACCTTGAGTATGAAATTTACTCAAAATTTTACAAACAGCACTCTGACTAATATTTAATGTTTTTGCCACATCAGATTGCGTTCGGCCACTTTGATAAAGTTCAACTATTTTTTGCCTAAATTGAACTGAAAAGTAAACGTGTTTAGGCATGATTACGTTGAAACGTACTAGAATTGTGCGAAAATATTAAGAACTAATGCAAAACTGGTCGCAATTGAAAGATTATTCCATACTTTTTT